GGGGCGAGCGGCTCCCCCCGCTCGCTGCCGAGCGGTGGTACGGTCCTTCCTCGCACGGGCGAGCCGCCGCCTGAGCCCGCCGGGGCTACCGCGACGGCGGTGCGGGGTGCCCACGCCCCACAGGAGAGGGAAAGGAGCGCGCGGGCCGAGGGCTCCAGCGGGAGTGCTCGGCGAGTGGCAGCGCGTGCTAGAAGGAGACGCGCGCGCAGGCCCGGAGAGGTGGGGAGAGGGGGTGGGGAAAGGGGGTGGGGGAGCCAGGGGAGGACGGGGCCCGGCCTCCAGCCGAGAGGGGCGGTGCTCGCGCCTGCGCACTTAGCTCCGTCCGTGGCTGTGGGCGGGCCGAGGGGGGCGGGCGGCGGGAGGAGACGGGGGCGGGATGGACCAAAGAGCCAATCAGGTGTTAAAACGAAGCTCTTAGGTGACAATCCTGCCTCCGACGGGGCGGTGCCCGGTGTGGGGGCGGGGAGAAGCGGGCATATGCAAAGTAAGTGACGTAACGATGACTCGGGTCTTCCGATTGGCTGAGGGCTTTGCCCGGAGGGCGGGCGTTTAGGGCGCTGGCTGGTGACTTGGCTGCAGGGGACCCGCCTGGAGGAGCGGGCGTGTTTCCTCTGGGCGCATGTGTAGATTACACGTGTGTCTGCTCGCCGAGAGCCGACTGTGGCGAGCTTCTACGGAGTGGACAAGCTCCGTGTTAAGCCAGCAGTGTGAAAGACTGTCCCTCCCGCTCTGCCTCTCCACTTTCACCTTGGGTGTGCCAGGCACTACTTTTCCTCTGTTATGAAAATGAGAGGAGGGGCTGGGGATTTAGCTCAGCCGCAAAGCACCTGCCTGGCAAGCGCAAGGTCGTGAGTTCGGTTCCCGGTACCGGAGAAAAAAAAAAACCAAAAAAAAAGAAAAAAAAGAAAAAACGAGAGGAGCAGTGGGCTGCAAGTTTAAATTCCACTTACTGAAAGATCTTTAATAAAAACCGGTAGGTGAATGCAAGGGTACCGACGTTGAACTGCACCCTGCACTAGATATCAAGTTAAATAGATCTGACCCTCCAACTTGTTTGCAAGATGCTAACACTGGTGCTTAAAGATAGGGGAGAGGGAGCAGCTGTTTGCTGCCTGGGCAGTGCCTAACCCGCAGTGGGTGTGAGAGGGACGATCTTTCCAAGTACACTGAGAGTTCCTCTCGCCTTGACTTGAGTCTGGACCGGCCATACATTCTGTTCTTCGCTCTTGTCCCCAAGAAAAGAATTGCATATCACGGAGACGGGAGCCAGAATATCCATGGAACACCTAGCTTTCCTGCTTGCGGACCCTTGAGACCTGGAGGATGAAAAAGGCGGTCTTTCAACGTTCCATTTCCTCCTTTAAGGCCAGAAACCAGCTGTCACAACCCCTGAGGAAATGACTCAGAGGTATAGCAGAATAGCCCAGTGGGGTAGACAGAACCTCGCCAGTGAAGGAGTGAGTTGTCTTTGCCTTTACAGTTCCTCCAGTAAAGGTTCTTCCCTTGCAGCTGCTGCCACTGCTATGAAGAACGAAGGTCGGAAGATGTCAGTGAAGCAAATCGAAGACACGGCCTTCGCCATCAGTGCGCTTACCTGTTGTTCCCCGCATGCGAATGTCCCAGCCCCTGGGATGGTCCCTAGGTGCGTCCTTCTGTGACACCATGTTCCTGTGCTATGGCCAAAGTCAGCACTGCCCAGCAGCACCCTCACGGCCCCACCTCATCCTCTCTAATCAGAACCATTTTCTCTTCTTTTTTCCTCCCTCTGTCCCCTTCTTTCATTCCTCACCCCTCTCTCCTTCCTTTCCTTCCTTTTTCTCTCTCTGAAGCACTTATTTACCTATATTGAAGGCAGTGTCGGCCTGGTGTGGTGGTGCAGTCCTGTAATACCAGCATTCGGGAGGCTGAGGCAGGAGGATTGTGAGCTCAAGGCCAGCCTGAATTGCATAGCGAGATCCTGTCTCAAAAAGACAAAAAACAAACAAACCAAAAGACAGTGTACCTTATTCACAGTTGAGTAATTTGTAATGCCTGCCTTCAATTCCCTTATAACCTAGAAGAGCGAGATACAAGTAACCTGCACGCAGTCCTCCCTTTCTTAGGTCCCCAACAATAGCACATCATGGCCTTGAAGGAATGAATAACGTGAAAACATACAGAGAGGGAACAGCGGTTGAGGCAGCAAGGGCTGACGCTACAGCACCCCCTCCCTGTGGGACTAATGATTGAACCCAGAGCCTTTGCCCTGAGCTCCTTCCCCTGCCTCCCTTTTTTTTTTTCTTATTTTGAGGCAAGTTCTTGTTAATTGCTGAATTGCCTTGTTAATTTGCTGAATTGCCTCAACTAAGCTAAGATTTAAGGTCCTTGCAGAGTGCTGGGACTGCAGCCATGCACCGGCTCCCAGCACATTTTTCAGTGTGATTGAACGCGATCCTCCTCTGTGAAGGAGCCTTTCTTCTGCAGTTCCCCCACCTTGGAACTAACAGCCTGTTTTTTGTTGTTGTACTTAAACTACGTCCCCAGCCCATTTTTAAATTTTTGAGACAGTGTCTCACTAAGTTGCCCTGGCTAGGCTTAAATCCTCCTGCCTGATCCTCCCAGAGTGCTGAAATTATAGGCATGTGCCACCGTGCCTGGCTCTAATTGTACCTCTTTAAATCTCCCCTGCCATCCTCCTGCCTTGTTGCAGAGCGCCCTGAGTCCTGCATCACCACTGCTCCCCACCACCGACCTCCATGGCGAAGCACCCTTCAGCTCTCCTAGTGAAAGCACCATCCTCTCTGCCCCTTGAGTGCGTTTGGACCTTCCCATCCCTAGCCCTAAACAGACCGTCCCTTTTCCTTGCCGGTGGAAAAGGTGAGTGGTGATAAGTACCTGGCCCATTTCCAGGTATTTCAGTGGGTCTTCGAAAGACCTAATGCTGTCTGAATGTGGAGACTTTTCCCTGGATCCTCTAAAGTGGAGCAATTCAGTGGACATCAGTTATTTCCCGCGACGAGCCCTGCTGAGCTCCAGCATCCTGTGAGCTGAAGCTCTGGCCAAGGCCAGCTGGGCCCAGCCCCTTTGTCCCTGGATCATTTTCTGCTGAGCTATTTGTTCCAAATTCCATTCTGCTACCTAGGCTGGAAATTACACTCATGCTCAGCTCAAAGGAATGCGGCTCCTGTTGGCCAGAGAGTGCACCCGGAAATGGACGGGTAGAGTCCTGCTTTTCATGTGTGGCTTCCTTTCTCACATCTGTGAGGCCACCTGCATCACCATCTGACCTGCACCTTTTCCAGCTGGGTAGCAACTCCTTACAGGTCACCGTCTGGGCTCGGGGTAGGAGGCCCACTCCTGATTTCTCTGCAGTCAGCATCGTTTCCTGTGCCTCAGAGGCCCACATGCGTTTCATTTGGCATGATATTTGATACCTTCCTGGAATTACCGGATTTGTATATAGTTCAGTCACATTTATTAATCATTCATTTATATAAAACGTTTATTTGATGAGCACCTACTATATTGCCCAGCCCTATGTTAGGAATTAGGAATAAGTAAATCAGGCCAGGGGTATAGCTTGGTGGTAGTGCTTGTCTAACATGGCCAAGGCCCTGGGTTTGATCCCTAGCATGGCAAGGAAAAAAAGTAAGTAAACAAGGGGAAAAAAGTAAATATAGGCCCTACCCTCATATAGTTTATTCTGCAGTAAACTGGTAGCTAACAAGTATACATGCAATTATAATACATTAAAATTCTTGAGAGTAACCTGGGCATAGTGGCCCATGCCAGTAATCCCAGGACTCTAGGAGGCTGAGGCAGGAGGACCATAAGTTTGAGCCTAGCCTGGTCAATTTAATGACTTAGGGAGACTACATCTCACAATAAAAAATAGTAAAAAGCTGGGGATGTAGGTCAGTGTAAAGGCCTAGGTTTAATACCCAGTACCAAAAAGAAAAGCTGAGTGTGGTAGTGCATGCCTGCAATCCTAGCACTCAGGAGGGTAAGGCAGAAAGATCTCTTCGAGTTCGAAGCTAGCCTGGGCTACATAGTGAGTTTGAGGCCAGGGTGGGCTACATAGCAAAACTGTGTCTCAAACAACCAAAAACAAAAAAAAATTTTTTAAAGATATGAATAGTTTGGGCATTCAGACTACATCACATAAGCATTTGACTGGTGTTTGTAAAATGAAAAGTATCACCATTAATCCCTGAATTTCTCCACTAATAGGAATACACAGATCACGGCCTCTCGGAAAGTTCTCCCTTGTTGGTTTCTGAACACCTGCTAATACTGCCATGTGTAACAAAGAATTTAGCCTTCTCCTGTAGCCACAAGGCCTTTCTTAGCTCATTTCTGGCATATAGGCCCTTGCTAGAGGTGTGGATAACAAGAAGAACAGGCCCCCAAGAAAGCTTCCTCTTGGGAATAACCAATGTGACTGCCCCTCCCACACTAGATATGCCCCCACCCACCAAGGCTCGGCAAGCATAGGGCTCATTACACCCATCCTCAGGGGTCTGGTTTACTGTTGGTTGAGCCACGTGAAGTTGTTACTGGCTTTAAATTTAATTTGTAAATTTTTTTTTCAAGTTTTTTGGAGACTGGATCTCATTAAGTAGCGTGGGCTGGCTTTGAACATACTTTATAGCCCAGGCTGGTTTAGAACTCACAGTAATCCTCCTGCCTCCGCCTCCTGAGTGCTGGGATTATAGGTGTGTGCCACCCTGTCTGGGATCCTGGTATTTTCTGCCTCTCACCCAAAGCCCACTCAGCCATGGTTTCCAGGTCAGTAGGTCAGTGGGGTTGTCACCTTCCCTGGACCGAAGAGCAGGGGGAGTGCAGGCTATACCTGCCCAGACCTCTTTCTGAGCTCAGTCCAAGGCAAGTCCTTTACTGTCTTAGTCTCTTTTCTCATGGCTGAGGCAAAATTCCCGACTCCCAAAGTTAAAGTAGGAAAGATTTATTTAGCTCACAGTCTATAGCAGTGTCAGTCCAAGATTGGCTGGCTCGAAAGCAGGGTGTCGTGGCAGCCAGGTATCACAGCAGAGAAATAGTTCAGGGTGGGCAGAAGATAGCAAAGCAACAAGGGACAACTACAGCTCTTTCTAATCCTTATATCTTATCCAGGCTACTTAGGACAGGTAGCACTCACACCCTTAATCCTAGTGCCCCGATCCTAGCACTGAACCATGAATCAGTCCCAGCCTCACACAGTCTAGATCCAGCTACCTCGGAAAAAGCCCCACCTATGACTCCATGAAGCTTTGCAGGAACATCTATACACAAACCGTAACGTTTACTTTTCCTCTGCCATTTTGGTCCAGCTATTTTTGAGGTCATGGTTGGTTTAGCACGGGATATATGAATATATATATATATATGTGTGTGTGTGTGTGTGTGTGTGTATATATATATATATGTATATATACGTATATGTATATATATATATGTATTTTTTCCCCAAAACATTTAAACCTAGCATGATAGATTAAACCTCTAATCCCAGCACTTTGGGAGGCTGAAGC